TCCTCTCTCCTCCCTTTACTTCTATCAAGTTTTAATGTTAATAAAAGTAGACTCAACATTTAAAAGAACTCAAGTCATGGCCAGCGCTGCGGCTCACTAGGCTAATCCTCTGCCTTGCAGCGCCGGCACACCGGGTTCTAGTCCCGGTTGGGGCGCCGGATTCTGTCCCGGTTGCCCCTCTTCCAGGCAGCTCTCTGCTGTGGCCAGGGAGTGCAGTGGAGGATGGCCCAAGTGCTTGGGCCCTGCACCCCATGGGAGACCAAGATAAGTACCTGGTTCTTGCCATCGGATCAGCGCGGTGTGCTGGCCACAGCGCGCCGGCCGCGGCGGCCATTGGAGGGTGAACCAATGGTAAAGGAAGACCTTTCTCTGTCTCTCTCTCTCACTGTCCACTCTGCCTGTCAAAAATTAAAAAAAAAAAAAAAGAACTCAAGTCATTTAAAGGGAAAAATTTTAAAGGGAAATTGGCAGATAAACAATTGTCCCAAATCTCTCTGTAACTACATCATTAGCTTGACTGCACACTGGATCTTCTTGTGAGGAAACTCAACAATGGAGAGAACTGTACAAGAAACGGAATACCAAGGATACACTTTCTTAGGGGCCATCTTTGGAGATGAGCTTCTTTATTGGATTTAAATATTAAATATAGCAAAGTGATATTATAGGGACTTCCAGACCTATTCATAGTTGTGGGTGAATGCTTTCTGTGTGTCTGGAACAAAATTACAACACTCAGTAAATGAAGGGTGACACAGGGCCAAAGAAATATCTTAAGGAACAGATGTTTTACAGTCTGCTTAACTGTATACCCAATTCAATCCTAAGAATGAAATTTATTCACTTAATAACAGAAGGCTTGAAGAAGTCAGTTTACCATAATCCATGGAAAAGTACCAGGCTTTAAATAATCTTACACATTCAAATATATGGATGTTTTTCCCTACCATTTCTCAAGGCCTCCTTGTTAGACCATAAACAGCCCTGACTTGTGTGTGAGCCTGCACAACATATAGGTACCCAGTATTCTGTCAAATCAGAGTGGAAATTGGTCTTTAGGTTGAAGATTCTCATACTTGTGAACAGGTATATGCTCTGGAATCAGACTATACAAGTTCATATTTTCATTGGACTGCTCGTTAACTATGACCTACAGCTAGCTGATAACTTATTCATGCCTCAGTTTCCTTAGCTCTAAAATTAGGCTAATAGGAGCATTCACTTCTGAAAATTGTTCTGAAGGGCAAAGGAGGAAATTTGTGTAAATTTATATAACATATTCAGCCCAGTCACTGGCATAGAGAAAGTACTCAATGAATATTAGTTATCAATCGTTGTTATCTAATAGAATGAAAATTTCATTTAACCTTCCAGATAATTGCATCAGTTAATTTGTTGTTCTTAATGGTAAATTTATCACTTTATGTATTCATCATAGCTAAGCTGGAGTGAGAACCTGAGGTGCTGCTGTCTTCCCAACTCAGTATCTTAGCAGAGGGTCAGCATTATCAGTGATTTCTAACCTTTTTAAGGCTGTCAGAACTAACCCACTCCTAGGTTCTTTGGATCAAAATGTCTGTGATGGTAAAATCAACCCGTATGTAGCCAAGAAATGCTATAATGAACAGCTGCACATTGTGAGAAGCTTAAATCATCAAAACTGTATTTTTCACTCATGCTTATATCCAACTACAGTTGGGGTGGGGCGGTGTTCTCATTGTCACTACCCAGAGGCTTAGACTTGTGGAGCAGCCACCATTACAAATATTCGTGTACACTGTTCCAGAAAAGAAGAAAGCACACAGTAAATTGTGTACCAATTCTAAAAGTTTCCACCTGGAAGTTACACACACTGCAATCTTACTTCATTGACCAAAATAAGTCATATGGCTACCCCTAACTGCAAGTAAAACAATAAATCCCATTATACCATTCTCAGAAGGAAGCAGGTCCAGAATATTTTGGAATTAGCACCAATTACAAAGTTACTACATGAGGACTAAACACTCTTAAGGAGTGTTTATCCTCAATGTTTATATTCAATGACCTTTTAGGTAGGTAGACAATCTGGTAGATACATATACAAACATGCCTTTAAAATAAACCAGCTGTTGCCAAGGTTGATTTGCTGCAATCATATGGGAAATACAAACCAAAACCATTTATTGTAGGGGTTAGGGTTAGCCACCAGCATTATTTTGTTTCCCGGTGATTACTAAAAAATATCTAGAGGAAATTTTGGTTTTCAAATTTTGGGGTAAGCGTATCACTACTGGCATCTGCTGGTTGGAGGCCAGAGATGTTGCTAAATATCCTGTAATTCACACATGACTCCCCACAATTAAGAATTGTCTGTCTCCAGATGTTGATAGTGCTGAGGTTGAGAAATTGGTCTGTTGTAATTTTCACACTTTTTTTTAAAGATTTACTTTATTTGTTTAAAAAGCAGAGTTACAGAGAGACGGGAGAAAGATAGAGAGGTCTCCCATTTGCTGATTCACTCCCCAAATGGCTGTAATGACCAGGGCTGGGCCAGACAGAAGTCCAGAGCCAGGAGCTTCATCTGAGTTTCCTACATAAGTTCAGGGGCCCAAGGACCTGGGCCATCCTCTGCTGCTTTCACAGGCATGTTAGCAGGGAGCTAGATCAGAAGTGGAGTAGCTGGAACTCGAACCAGTTCCCATATGAGATGCCATATAAAGCCAGCCCCTGCACTTTTCTTATAATACTCCTAAATCTATTAAAATGAAAATCAGCTTTTGAAATGTCTGCACATGAAATGATCTCTTTTTTCAATTTTTAAACATTTATGTTACTTATTTGAAAAGCAAAGCAACAGAGTTAGAGAGTGAGAGAGTAAACCTCCCATCCACTGGTTTACTCTTCAAATGCCTACAACAGCTGAGTCTGGGCCAGACCAAAGCCAGGAGCCAGGAACTCAATGCAGGTCTCCCTTGTGAGTGGTAGGGACCTAAGTACTTGAGCCATCACCTGCTGCCTGCCTCGCAGGGTACACTTAAGCAGGAAGTTGGGATCGGGGCAGAGCTGGGACTCTAGCCCAGGCACTATAGTATTGGATACACCAAACACCCACCCCAGCAGGTGAGAGTATCTGTACCAATGCTCATGAAAGGAAGTCCAAGTGAACTGTACTACCTCACATTTTGTGTTGACGCATATGGGACTTTTATTCAGAAGTGCAGATCTGTACATTAATTCATTGTGAACTCCATATAAGAGAGCTGATTACATCTCCTTTGTTTTCCAAAAGGGTTTGAAATTCAAATTGAAAACACTGTTCATCAAAACAGACAGTATCAGAGATAGATCTGCCAACTTGATTAAGCAAGGTTTAGTTCCAATGGGGAAAAAATGTGGCGTGGCACCATTAGATACAGACCATGGATAATAAACTTCATATGTGAATTTTTGGGAGACCTTCTTGACAGTAGCACATTATTTTTTCTTAAAAAGGATTTATTTATTTGAAAGGCAGAGTTACTGAAAGAGGGAAAGAAAGAAAGAGATCTTCCATCTGCTAGTTCACATTCTAAATGGCTACAACAGTGGGACCTGGGCCAGAATGAAGCCAGGAGCCTGGAACTCCATCAGGTCTCCCACGTGGGAGACAGAGGCCCAGATCATCTTCTGCTGCCTTCCTAGGAGTGTTAGCAGAGAGCTGGATTAGAAGCAAAGCATCCAGGACTGAAATGGGCATTCATATGGGATGCTGGCATCACAGGTCATATGACTTAACCTGCTGCCCCGGGAGCATATTTTTCTAAGAACAGTCTACCCTGATAGGGACAATTAAGAAAGGATTGGCTGTAAGTGACCAAAGAAAGGCGGTGCTTTAAAATTCAACCATCCTACTTTCATTTATGAGCCATATTTTATAAACACAAATAAATGCAGAGACAAAAGCCATGTGGAAGGAGATTTTATACTTAAAGGCAGAAAACTGAGCATACTCCACCAAGGAATTTTTTACCTTTTAGCATCAGTTTGTGCTAGCATTTAGATGACAACTTTTGTTTCAAAGTGTAAGCTTTGAGGCTTGCTTGCAGAATGACTGTTCCAGAATGGAAGAAATGAGACCTAGTGAAAGGATATTTGTGTACTATTAACTTGTGAATCACAAGGCAAACCCTGGCACAGCAGTTTGTTAATCCTGATGGCTGAGGGAGAGTAAATTTGATCACAGAAAAGCATGTACACAGCTTGGGGTCTCAGAAACAGCTTAAGAAAGTTTCAACTATGTTTGGAATGTACTGAATCAATAAATTGTTAATTTTTACACCTGTGTTAGCCCACGGACTCCTCCTCAGGGAGTTGAAGCTTGTAGTGCAAATACAATCCAAACACTTATATTAATTACTCTGGCTAACACAGGTCATGGAGCAAGCCTCAGCCCGGTTTCAAAATCTTTTATTTACTAGGTTCCTGCAGTCACAGGGGAAATTTAATTGCTATGCAAATTCTTCATAAAAAAATTGGCCTTTTTCCGCATCTGCCCTTGGTGAATACCAGTCCTTTCTTCCTTTCACTTTGTGGCCTGTATTTGTTAGGTAAATGACTTTGTTCTACTGGAACACAAGCTTATGTTTTTAGGAGCGAAGGCCTACTGCAACTTACTGTCAAGTGATTTGGCACAACTAATAGATCTAAAAGTACCTACATACAGAGGCCTAAAGAAAACACAGCAAGATGTTAAACTTTTGTTCATCTGAAAGGTTTATGGAAATTCATTGTGCTACTCTTGCAGGTTTAAATGATTTCAAATGAAAAAGTAAACAAAGAGAAAAAACTTTAGATTCATGAGATTGTAGAAAGAAAGGAGTTCTACTATTTAAGTTTTAACTGTTGCAATGAGATCACAATAAATTTTAGTTTTTTCATTAAAGCTAATGTGCTATAAGTACAATAATATTTTAATTATTGGTAAGTGCTACTTAGATTTCTGTAAAATGAATGCAGATTGATGCTGCTTCTCTCCCTAGGGTGTTCTTCCAGAAATCTGGATGGATGACTGCAGATTTAGCCACATAATGTCAAATGGTTCCTCACGTTACCAAGGAAAGGGCATATGGAGGAAGGTGAAAATAAAGGTATGTATTTTTTATGATGATTTAGTCGGAGTTGACTTTGATTCATCAGCATTGGGCACTAAATTATTTGGCTAGCTGGCCCAAGATTGTGCTGAGAGGAAAAAGTACTTGGTGAAAAAGGGCTTGGTGCATATGAGACCTAATTTTTCATCGTCATGGATTGCACCTTAGAGACCTCCTATTGATTGCTACTGTGGAATGAAATTGCCTCCTCCCCAAATTCCTGTGTTGAAGCCCTAACTGCCAATGTGATGATTTATGGAGATGAGGCCATCAGGAGATAACTAGGTTTGAATGAGGTCAGTGAAGGTGGGACCCTCATGTTGGGATTAGTGCCCTTAAAAGAAGAGACATCAGACAGCTTTCTTGCCCCCTACTCCCCACTTCTCTCATTCCTTTTCCTCCCCCACTCATTTTCTCTCTTTTATCCTACTACCTTCTCTCTCCCCATGTGTGACAGCGTAGCAAGAAAGTGGACTGGCCATCTACAAACCCTCAGCAGAACCTTATCATATTAGCGCCTGATCTGGGACTTCCAGCCTCCAGAACTGTGGGAAAAAAATACATTTCTGTTGTTTGAGTCACCCAATCTACAGCATTCTGTCATGGCAGCCCAGGCTATCTGAGATGATTGCTAAACATTTTGTTAGGAGAGCTGATAGGAACTGCAGAAGAGATCGGAGATGGTGTAGATTATGAAGTTAATACTTTATAAATACCAAAGCTAGACTGTGTAGGATTTCCACGTGGTGACTAGCTCTATTTTAATTAAAAAAAAAAAGTGTGAACACAAAGAGACATATTAACATGAACTGATGACAGACTATTTTTATCACCTTTGCTTAGCTCTTTTATGCCTTCACATGTCCATTTACATTAAACAAACCATTCTAGCCGTTGTTTTGCACATCTGTGTATGGCAAACATTTGAGGATTCTGACATTTCTGCATCTAGAACACTGACGCAATTGTATTATAAAATTCAGGAAGAGTTGATGTTCAAACCAAGGCCCAGAGAGAGGAATCAGTGTTGTGGTATTGTTCCATTTCTTTTAAGGCTTTTCTGCCATCTGATTTCAGTCTGTTTTCGCAAAAAAAGAGAGCTAAAAATAGAAGCCGTCTTACTTGAATAGAATATCGTTAAAATATGGAATAATAAAAAATAGTTTAAACTTTGAATTCAGAGCATGGCTGTTCACTTTCACCAGTCTTTTGGTGGAAAAGCAAGGATTCATTTTGGACTGCACCTGCTCACTGGAACCTTGCACTATTTTTCCTTCTTATACAGTTGCTGTGATTGCAGACTCTATGATTTCCTTTTTCTAAGAAATTTACTCCTCAAATGTCTACAGTATCTGGGTCTAGGACAGGCTAAAGCCAGGAGCCAAAAACTCCATCCAGGTCTCTCATGTGTGCGGCAGGGACCCAATTACTTGAGCCGTTACTCGCTGCTTCACAGGCTGCTCATTACCAGGAAGCTATAATAAGGAGCAGAGATGGAAATCAAACCTAGGCTCTCCAGTATGAGATGGTGGATGTTAACCACTGTGCCAAATGAATGCCCTGACTTCCACTTTTAGTATCTTTGAAGTAAAATGAGAATTTAAAGAGAAATGGTTTTATATTCATTTTCATTCTAGATTTTTACAATGCCTTATAATATTTCAGTTATTTTATTTATGCCTAAGTTGGCAGGAAATTTTTAAGTGACTTTTAGAAGATGGTGTGGCACCATCATACCTATTAAGATGGCAGGGCTTGGCAAACTATGCACATGGGTCAGATTAGCTCGAGGTGTATTTCTTACAGTCCACAAGCTAAGAATATTGTTTACCTTTTTAAAAGGTTGCTTAAAAAAAAGAACATGCAAAACTGAAAATGTTTACTATATGGCAGGACAAGCCTGCCAACCGCTGCTTTAGTCTCAGAGACCTCTTCTGGACTGACTGCAAGTGCAGCAATGGAGAAGGAGAGGAGTTGTAAGAATGGTATTCCTCATTGTTGCTCACATTCAGTTGCCCAGATTCCATCACATGCGGAGGCTGGGAATTGTTGCTTAGTTGTGTATCTGAGAGAAGAAAGACAAGGTGAAGAAATAATCTGTCTCAGCCATATGAAGTCTTTTTCCAATCTTTGGACTTCTAATAGAAACAAAAGTCTTATTTTGCTCTCATATGAGTGTTTCACTGGATTATATAATACTTAGGTAAACTATGCTGTTATGATAAGTTTAATTCACATAAATAACTTTGAAATCTATAATTGATACTTGATAAACTAGAGGTCAATTAATAGAATCCCAAGGGTATGGGTATCTTGGAGGGTAAACAGACCTGGAGCGCTCAGCTGGCCATGATGACCAATCAGACCAAGTATTCCTGATGGATTAGAGCAGTGGGTCTCCATCAGGACGGATTTTGTCTTCCAGAGAACATTTAGCAAAGTCTGGAGAGATCTTTGGTTGTCACTGATGGGGAAATGCTTCTTGTATTTTGTATGTAGAAGTCAGAGATTCTGCTAAACTTCCTACATTACACAGGACAGCCACTCCCCCCCACCACAAAAAAAATTATCCAGCCCCAAATATCAAAGTGCTGTGATTGAGAAAACCTGGATTACAGAGTGTTAGTTGATTTGCCAAGTTGTTAAGTGGAGGTTTGTAAAGGAAGTGTCTAGTATAGGTAAGAATTAAGATAAGTCATGGAAATTTTTGAGGTTTATAAGAAAGCCAATTAATTTATTTATTCATCGCCACTCCTACCCCATCCTAAACCAACTGAGAATTAGGTATAGAAAAGTGGGCAGGAATCAATATCATAACTTTGTATTTGGGCAAGATTGATTAGAAAATAAGACATGGGGAGATGAAAGGAGAATTCTGAATGTTGCTTTGCAAATCTGGGTGTGAGAAGAACTATGTCTTCCCACCACCATCAGAGCAGTCCAGGGAGATGGAGAAAGCAAAGCCACGGGAATGGAGCAATGTTGAATTCATCAGTGTCTCCTACTGGAGAAATGTAGATCATAGATGTCAGAGACTTTGTCATCTCATACCCGCAAAATTCTTTTCTCTTTGCATGAGAAGGGTTGAAAAAGTGACCATCTGAACTTTTACACTAGGGTGGGACTCCTATTTTATTGTCTTGAAGTTCTGTGGAAAGAAGAAAATGCTGATTCTCCTTCAATTTTTGTGGGAAAAGCATCTCACCTGTAGGAGTTTCACTCATTCCCTTCATCTATTGTTACTGAATGTAGGAGTTTGAACAAGTCACACATGTATAGCCTTCAGTTCCCTCATATGGATAAGAATCCAGATTTGTCAAAAGGTTGAAGACTGACTCAAATCATCTGTGGAGGTCTCTTAAGATCTTAACATTCCAAACATGCATCAGTGACTTAAAGATAGCACAAATGTGTACACTTAGGAAATCTTAATTGTGAGGTCAAGTGTATGTATAACATTGGATGTAGGGCAGGCTGTTACCTGTGAATCAAAAAGGTAATGCCATGGGGGCCTGTCTCATGGCACAGCAGATTAAGCCATGGCCTGCAATATGGGCATCCCATATGGGTTCCAGTTTGTGCCCTGGCTGTTCTACTTCCAATTCACCTCCCTGCTAATGCACCTTGGAAAGCAGTAGAAGATGGTCCAAGTGATTGGGCACTGCCATCCATATAGGGGGACCCAGATGAATTTCCAGGCTCCTGGCTTTGGCATGGCCCAGCCCAGGCTGTTGCAGCTATTTGGTGAGTGAACCAGCACATTAAAGATCTCTCTCTCTCTCTCTCTCTCTCTCTCTCTCTGTAACTCTGCCTTTCCAATAGATAAAATAAATTTTTTTAAAAAGGGTATGGGTATTTCAGAGTATGAGTCCAAGATTTTCTAGGAGTATGCATTTCCTGGCTTCAGTAGTAGCTGTACAGTGATTGGGAATTTGGTTTTCTGTCCCTTATATCCACAGTTTTGTCTGTTGCCTTGAATTCTATGACAATTCAGATACAAGTCTTCATCATTTCCTTGCATCTTTCATCAGTTGGAAATCTCATGTTCAGAGACGCTTTGAAATGGCTCAGGAATCTTTAATCATCACCTAATACCTCTCTTTGATTAGTGCTTTGTGATGATGAGGATAATAATCATACAGAATTTGAGACTGAAGAACAAGGATTTTAGTCCTGATTCACTCTCTTGCTGGCCTAGTGATTGAAGGAAAATCACCTGATGCTTATGAGCCTTCATTTTTTCATATGTAAAATGAGAATTAAAATAGTGCTTAACTCCCAAGACCCTTGTAAAGTTAAGGTGTGTGAAAGCACTTGTAAAACTCTGAAGCAGGAAATGTTATTAATTTTTCATCCACTTACATTCACTCTCTGGGACATCATAAAGTTTTATCTGGTTTGAGGAACAAACATCAAGTGCCTGTTTACTTAATAATTTGGTTGCATGGTTAGGAGCAGATAAAAGTCCCTTTCTACTGACTGAAGCTTCTAGAAGTGTTTGCTTGACTTTTTTGCATGTGTTCTTATGGAGGGTTGCAACTCAGTGTCACCACGTGACTATAGAGGAAAAACCCTCAATCCCAATTTTACGTGCACTCAGTGGTAAACCTGGGCCCCTGAGAGGCTATTTGATAATAAGCCACATTGGCTTTTGACAGTGAGACTTAATATTGCAGATGTGTTCAATGTCTTAATGCTCCATTTGTTTAAGTTTCAATTTCAGAGTGTGTTGACTTCATTAGAAAGAATGGCATGAAACTGTGTTTACCCAAAAAGTTTTCTTTTTCCTGCTTCAAAATTAGGAGACTGTCCCAGATAAAAGACAAGAGTAAGAAAAATCAACACTTGATTTTAGCTAGAGTTTCTAATGCAGATTTCTAAGAAATAACTTTCTTATCCAGCAGGATTCTAATGGGTCTCCATAAGTTGAGCCGAAAAGGTGGACCCTAGCTCAGAACAATAGCTCTGGCAGTATTAATCACAGATATTCCAATTGTCACTTCTTCAGTTTAATTAAACTCAGAATTTTATCCTCAGACCAGAAATTGTGCAACCTGTATTTGAAGAGCCATGAAAATGTCCATTCTCTTTGACTCAGAAGTTCTACTTTAAAAATTTATCCTAAACAAACATCTCAAAATATGAAAAAAAATAGTATATGATACAAAATTTTGATCAGTGATGATTTAAAATATCAAATGAATAGGGACAGGCATTTGACATAACAGTTATAGATGTTTGAGATGCCCGCAACCATGTTAGAATTCCTGGGTTCAAGTCCCAGCTTTACTCCTGGTCATGTGCACTGTGGGAGGCAGCAGATGATGACTCAAGTGGTTGTGTTCCTGCCGTTCACGTGGGAGATAAGATTGTAATCCTGATCTTGGCTTCGGCCTGGCCCAGCCCAGCAGTTGAGACACTTGGAGGAGTGAACCAGTAGATAGAAAACAAATTTCTCACCCTCTCTCCCCTCCCCATTTTGTACTGATAAAAGTAAAAATAAAGCTTAAAAATTTTCAAATGATGGGGCCAGCGCTGTGGCACAGTGGGTTAAAGCCCAGGCCTGCAACACAGGCATCCCATATGGACACCGGTTTGAGTCTCAGCTGCTCCACTTCCTATCCAGCTCTCTGCTCTGGCCTGGGAAAGCAGTAGAAGATGGCCCAAGTTTTTGGGTCCCTGTACCCATGTGGGAGACCCAGAAGTAGCTCCTTGCTCCTAGCTTTGGATCGGCCCAGCTCTAACCATTGCAGCCATCTGTGGAGTGAACCAGTGGATGGAAGATCTCTCTCTGCCTCTGCCTCTCTGTAACTCTGCCTTTCAAATAAACTAAAAAAAATTTTTTTATATGAATGGAAATGCCTGCCACTTTTAAAGAAATGGTTAAATCAGTTGAGGTATATGAATTTAGTAGAATATTGTACAAACAATGAACATTATAGTTACAAAGTCCATGCTGAAGCACAAAAATGCTTATTATACAGTGAAAAATAGGATTCATAGATGTTGATAAATTTTGGTTATAATTATGGGAAATTATAACTATGAAAAAGACTAGAAGGAATTTACCAGATTACTATTATCATGTTAGGGTTATGAGATCATAGAGAATTCTTAAAAATATTTTTCTCTTTCAAATTATAAATAATATTTTCTACAGCAGAAACTTAAAAAGATTTTTGTTTCTCAAACTTGCTCATATTTCCATTTCTCAAATTCAGGATTTAGAAATATTCCACATATGTGGGATCAATAGATAACTCAGAGGAACCTCAGAGCTATGAAGAATGATGAAAGAAGTGTCTCACACATCCTACAAATAAAAGTAAGTTCACAAAGATATGAAAGGAAAAAACTGGGAAGATGGGTAGGCCATGTTAATATTGTTGTATGGGTTGTAAATGCTGTTTTACTCCTAGCTTTGCAGAAACAAATATCTCTACAAAAGTGAACACTCTGATAGAAATGACAGACAGCAATTCTTGGACCAGATTTACTTGGGTCCTTAGAAGACAAAGGTAGAAGTTGTCTGTGGTGGAAAGAAAGCCTGCAGGAAGGTTCTAACTCAAACAGCTCTGCATTATTCTGCACATGCCTCAGGATCTCTGAACATTGTTCTAAAATGAGGACTATATTATTGCTAATATCCTTTCTAGCTCTGAAATTGACTCATTCATTCAAATTTTCATTGAGTACCACTGCATTCCAGGCACTGTTCTAGGGCTTGATAGAGGTGAAAAGAAAACAAAGTCAGAATAGGATATAGTTTCTGATCTCAAAGTAAGCTTTTGAATCCTACTGGGGAAGGAGAAACTGAAGTAGGGCAACAGTAAGAAGCCTTTGTTTTTAATCTGCCTTTACAAATAGGTACATAAAATGTGTGTGTATAAAACCATTCCAGTTACTAAGGCAAACAAAAGAAACATTACTTCTGTGTTCATTAGTGTTGATTCTATGTTCCTTAAGTTAAAAACAGTTTATAGGGGTGGGTGTCTGGCCTAATGGTTAAAACATTGATTGAGATGCCTGCATTCCACTCTGGAGTGCCTTGGTTTGATTCTCAGCCTTGGCCCCTTCTTCCAGCTTTCTGCCAGTGCAGACCTTGGGAGTCAGCACGTGATGACTGAGTTGGCTGGCCCTTTGCCACAACAAAGGAGACCATAGGAGTTCCCAGCTCTCTGCTTTGCCTTGGCCCAGTCCTGTCCATTGCAGGTGCTTGGTGGATAAACAACTGGCTGGGAGCTCACTCACTCTCTCTTGAATTAAAAGATAAAATAAAACAAAACACAACTTATAAAACTTTTTAAAAAGCAGTTGGTGAGATTTGGTATCTACCTATATCAACTCATGTTTTAAAGATTTGAATAGAAAATAAGTATTTAAAAATTGGTAGATATGAGGACCTACCTCTAAGATAAATACTCCATATCTCCAGATTGGATCTTTTATTAGATCTTGGTCTCTGTCCCTTTGTTGTTCCCATTATTTACATTGTTATCCTCCAAATGGACAGAATGTAATTCTAGTATTCTCAGATTTCATTCTAATAAGAGAGAGAGAGAAGAATGGTCACAGTGTAGCTAAGGCTTCCCACCAGGTGCCAAAACCCAAACCTTCATTTCATGTTGACATAAAACTAGACGGAGACACCCACTAGTCAAATACCATAATGTAAACTTTGCCGGTGACAAGCTCAGTGCTTTAAGTCAGTCTGTAAGTTTTAAAATCTTAGCACAGTTTCCTTCTTTCCGTGTATTAATGAGTCTTGTATTTCTAGACTTTCTCTTAACAAAAATAGCTAACACATACTAGACATTTGAGTATGCCAGGAACTTTGCAAAGTATCTTCCATATATTATACGATTTTTAATCCTCACCAAAACACTTTGAGATAGGCACCATTAAATTAAGGAGAATTAAGAAAGGTCTAAAGATAATGATACTAACAATAGTAATAGGGAGCATATACAATAAAAGCCTATCATTTTTAAATTGTCACTTAAAAATATAAAGTTTCACTTTATATATATATGAAAGTATGGCAACCACATTTGTGGGGGACAGGAAGGGCCAAGAGCCCTTCCTAGGACTTACCAGCTTGCATGGAATGAAATGGGCTAATGAATCTCAGGCCAGCTTCTCTGTGGGTTTTCTCTCAGCTCAAGAGAGATGCCCAGGCCAGTGCCGCAGCTCACTAGGCTAATCCTCCGCCTTGCAGCACCGGCACACCGGGTTCTAGTCCCGGTTGGGGCGCCGGATTCTGTCCCGGTTGCCCCTCTTCCAGGCCAGCTCTCTGCTGTGGCCAGGGAGTGCAGTGGAGGATGGCCCAAGTGCTTGGGCCCTGCACTCCACGGGAGACCAGGATAGGTACCTGGCTCCTGCCATCAGATCAGCGCAGTGCGCCGGCCGCAGCGGCCATTGGAGGGTGAACCAATGGCAAAGGAAGACCTTTCTCTCTCTCTCTCTCTCTCTCTCTCACTGTCCACTCTGCCTGTGCAAGCAAAAAGATAAAAAAAAAAAAAAAAAAAAAGAGAGAGAGAGAGAGAGAGAGACCCAGTTCAGGGCAATACCCTGTTCCCTTTAAAATGAGTATGAAACCCCAATACTTTTGCCCTAATATTGGAAATCCTAAAGCAGCCCTGTCCATCCATAGCATCTTGTGGAGATAACTGAGGCCTTTATCATAATGGCATCTTTTCCTTCTCTAATAGATATTAATCCTAATTCCATTTCTTAATATGCCTGTGGAATGCTCATCTCCTTCACCACTCAGGAACCCACCCCAACCCAAGAAACTTAAGTTTGTTAAGAATTATGAAATTTACAAACTTGCTTAGCCAAGTAATTATAAACTGTGAGCCTAAGTGGGTGAATGAGTGAATGATCTGTCAACAAGGAAGCCTGTCTTTAGCTAGCAACTGAGACATGTTTCATTATCCAAGGACTTCAGAAACATATTTTTTCATAAAATGTGTTTTTAGTGCTACATGCTTTACATATGTTATTTCATTTTCTTCTTCCTTTTTTAGGAGATTCATTTATTTATTTGAAAGTCAGAGTTACAGAGAAAGAGGAAGAGACACAGGAGAGAGAGATAGTCCATCTTCTGGTTGACTCCCCAGATGGCTGCAATGGCCAGGACTGATCCAGGTCTAATCCAGGAGCCAGGAGTTTCTCCTAGGTTTCCCACATGGGTGGCAGGGGCCCAAGAACATGGGTCTTTGCTGCTTTTCCCATGCTGTTAGCAGGGAACTGGATAGAAAGTAGAGTAGCTGGATCACGACCAGAGCCCATATGGGATGCTGGCATTGCAGGTTGTGGCTTTACCCCTAAGCCACAACACTGGCCCCTTCTTTTATTTTTTTTTTTATTTTTATTTTTTTTTTTGACAGGCAGAGTGGACAGTGAGAGAGAGAGACAGAGAGAAAGGTCTTCCTTTGCCGTTGGTTCACCCTCCAATGGCCGCCGCAGCCAGCGTGCTGCGGCCGGCACACCGCGCTGATCCGATGGCAGGAGCCAGGAGCCAGGTGCTTTTCTTGGTCTCCCATGGGGTGCAGGGCCCAAGCACTTGGGCCATCCTCCACTGCACTCCCTGGCCACAGCAGAGAGCTGGCCTGGAAGAGGGGCAACCGGGACAGAATCCGGCGCCCCGACCGGGACTAGAACCCGGTGTGCCGGCGCCGCTAAGCGGAGGATTAGCCTAGTGAGCCGCGGCGCCGGCCCCCTTCTTTTATTCTTACAACAGTGAGGTACTGTTTCTTCCTCCCCATTTTTTGCATAAAGAATCTGAGATTCAGAGACGTTAATACCTTATCAAAGGTAAGTGAATTAAATGCAGAGCTGAGATTTGAATCCATGTCATTCTGGCCCTAGAACCTTGGCTTTGAAATCACCGTGCTGTATTATTTCACCGGGTAATATATCTTAATTTTCTTCACAGACCTGTACACATAGAAATATACAAATGCTATTTGCTTAATTCGTTGCTTTGATGGTACCTGAAACAAACCTTCCCATAGAGTAGTTAAGTTCTAATATCATTTGAAAATAAGTTGAAGCCAGTTTGAACCTGGCATGGGAGCTCTACTCATTGCTTTCCTTATGGGGATTAACTGGGGAATCTTGACTTTTCACCTGTATCTCAGATCCACATCAGGGACTGGGATGCAACAGTACTAAGCATTTGTTAATCAAATGAATGTGTAAGAAAAATTTCCTCAACTAAAAACATTAATGGAGAAGGAAATAATCCTTCCTTATGTTTTATAGAAAATTATTTCATATGTAAATTTTAACTGATTGTCTTTATATGGAAACAGAAGAATAATTACCAGGCACACAGAAACCCAATGTTCAATTCTAAGCTGAGATCAGTAAGCATCAATTGATACTGTGTTGTACTGAATCATAGGTTTTCGGTTTGATTCAATGTGTGTTGCTCTTATGTATATGACCTGTGGAGATACAATGGTGCATTCTCAATCCTGACATCAAAGATTGTAAGACTATGAGAACATACACACAAATCTTGGACACAGATACAGTGAGATATACACTAAATGAAGAACTGTGCATGGAGCAATGAGGAAGAGACTTTCTTGGCAAGGACAAGAAGCAACACCTTTATTTTGTGGACCAGTTGCCTGAAACACACTTCTAGATGATTTTCTCTTTCTCAAGAACTTCTTACTGTCTAAAAATACAGCCTAAACTCTTGTCTTCAAGGCCCCCATTTGCTAGGGCAAAATTGTATAATCATAGGGAGATCAACTTATGCTGGTTTTCTTAGAAACTCCCCAAAGTCCTGCTTCCCTGGAAAAATTCTTCAGTTCCAAGCAAACCAAGACAGGGAATGACTCATTTAAGACTTATTTATTTATTTGAAAAGCAGAGTATCAGAGAAGAAAACAGAGAGAGAGAGAGAGAGAGAAGTCTTTCATCTGCTGGTTCATTTCCCAAATGGCCTTAATGGCTGGGGGTGGGCCAGGCTGAAGCCAAGAGCCTGGAGCTTCTTCCAAGTCTCCCACATGGGTGCAAGGGCACAAGCACTTGTGCCATTTTCCACTGCTTTCCAAAGTGCATTAACAGGGAGCCAGAGTGAAAGCAGAGCAGCCAGGACTCAAACCATCAACCATATGGGATTCTAGAGTCATACGCAAAGGCTTAACCTACAATGCCACAGTGCCGGCCCCAGGTAATGACTCATTTTAATGTTTGATGCCCTATCTTCTGGTTCCTGCTTCTTTCTCACTTCTGAGTTATTATTTTTTTAAAGACTTATTTATTTTTATTTGAAAGAGTTACACAGAGAGGAGAGACAGAGAGAGAGAGAGAGACAGAGAGAGAATAGAGAGAGAGAGAAAGAGAGAATCTTCCATCTGATGGTTCACTCTCCAATTGGCCGAAACGGCTGGAGCTGCACTGATCTGAAGCCAGGAGCCAGGAGTGTCTTCCGGATCTCCCACGTGGGTGCAGGGACCCAAGCTCTTGGGCCATCTTCTACTGCTTTCCCAGGATACAGCAGAGAGCTGGATAGGAAGAGGAGCAGCTCGGACTCGAACAGGCACCCATTTGGGATGCTGACACTGTATCAGCTTTACCCACTAGGCCACAGCACCACCCCTATAGTGCCTTTCCAATGTAATCTTCACTGTCACTCATCTAGGTTCTCCAATATCCCTATTGTACGTATTTAGAAACTGAGGCACAGGAGAGACTATTACCCAAAATTATCTAGTAAAGAAGTGGCAAAGCTGAGATTTAACTCCAGATCTTTTTAACACCAAAGTCCATGCTCCCAACCATAACAGCACATGGTATACATCGTCTCCCGTCCTAGATCTTTTCCAGGTTAAATTAATACCACCATTAAAATACACAAGTCTCTGGCCATTTGGCACTCTTCATTGCTTTAAGAACTTTCTACACCTGACATCTTTCCACTCCCAGACAAGGAGCTCCTTAATTCCAAGAGCTACCTCCAATTTCTTTCTTGATTCCCAGAGTCTGAAGGAGACCTGAGAACAGACATGTGGATACATGGAGGACATTTTTAAACTGAAATGTAAAGGAACCAGGTATTTAGATGGGAAAGTTATGCCAAGCAGAGTGAATGCTAATACTAACAGTGCCAATAGCAGCCACTAAGTCCAGTGAATTCGTACTCCGTCCTGGATGCTATGCCATCTCATCCTCATAAATAACCTATGGAGCAAAGTCTCATTAACACGCTCATTTTCAGAAGGAGAAAACCGAGGCTCAGGGAGTGAGACAAATCACCCAAGCTTCACTAGCTGCTGAGTCGCAAGGCAGATCTCAGACTCCTCTTTCTGTGATCCCCCCGCATGAGCTGTAGCCACTGTGGCCTAGAAACTGAAGAGAGAGGGGGAAATTCCAGGGTGTGCCCGTGAAAACAGCGAGTCAACTGGTTGAACATAAGTGGTAATGATGAGAATGACAATCACTATGGCTGCTCTTTGTTTTAAAACATCTGCTAACCTTTTCTCATTTAGTGGTGGTAGTAACACAATAGCTTACATTCATTGAGTGCTTTATTGAGGCGCCATACAAAACTCTTTTCCAGGATCAACCATCTCATTTGCTCCCCACAACAACCCTTTAAATAGTACTATTTTAAATAGTACAAATGAGGTTTAGAGGGGTTGAAACCATAGTGAAGCTTGATTTCTTAAAAACCTCTTCTTCAAGGATTGTGAGTAGTGAAAAGGTGATCACAGCCACTGCATTCACAGACCACGTTCCTGAGTGGTTCTGCACGTGGACTCCAATCAAGTTTCAGGCAGTTTCAGCTGAAATCTCTTCAAGTGTGAGGGTGCGTCAGAGAGACAGGCGTCCTCTCGGGCTTTCTCTGGAGGCTCAGCTTCTTCGGTAAGTCAGCACTTGAGGGGTTCTCATAGCCCCCCCAGTGTGTTTGTTTCTTATTGATTTGGGGATATATTTTGATATGGGATCTGCTAGACTGAAAATTAGGAATGTGTGGCTAGACCCTAAATCTCTTCCTTGTGTGCTTAATTCCACCAGTCAAATGAGCTGCAATTAAAGGCTGGATAAGGGTTGTATTTCGCTCACAGCAGCTTTCCCTGCAAGGAAGAGGCCACTGTTGGCACTGATGTCGGCCTAAAAGCTTCTCTTTGACACAAAAGAGAAGGTGAAGGTGATAGCAATGCAGTAGGCATCAGCCAGAGCTATGTGGAGAGCGTGTAGGTATAAGGATTCTCCCCTGCCACCTAGCGCTGCTACTCGGATCGAAAGGTCGTGCTCTTTCTGATGTTCCCAACTGTGTCCCCTCTGTGGCTGAGAAGCCTAGTTGCCTTTTGCAAGGTGAATTCTTTGTGATATAGGAAAGGTTAGTCATTCCCTGCTGATTTTCCCTTCTTTTGAAATTTGGCAACTTCTTGATCTTTTGGGAAATGAGTTTTGATACTCAGATGCACTGGGAGATTAAACTGAGGTGGATCTCAGATGAATTTACATGAATATGAACTTTTTAGAAGCAGTTTCAATTTCACAGTCAGCCTTTTGACCATTCAACACAGGCTTCTTTAGTAGATTCTCACCGGTGCTCTGTTCTCATCCAACTTCTCAGAAATTGTTCCTTTTATTACAACAGGCATTAGGATGGGCAGAAATGAAGTCTGAAGGTGCTAGGGCAAACGTCAGTTTTAGCTATCTGTGTTTAGTGAATATTTTGGAGGAAAATAATGATCATCTGTATTTGGTACTTCCTTGGGTAAAATAAGTAGAAGACAGCTGTTGTTCCTTGTAACAGATGCAGAGAAGTTCCCATCTTCCCTTTTTCCTCTTATTGCGATGTCCTTGAGCTTGAGACCTGTACTAGTCTCTAGAGTCATGTTTGCTTGTCCTCTGAGTTTGGTAAATGAAAGAGTTCATCTCTACAGTACGAATAAAAACGACTAGTGGTATTTATACTTAACTTGAGAAGCATACCTAAAAATGTTATAAATCTGTTGAGACCTTATAAAAAGAGCAAAGATACTATATAAATGCATTCTTTTTGAATCTATTTTCCAGAGAGCCATTTTAAACTACTACAGTTGAATTTTTCTGTATTGTTTATGTACAAGCTTAATCTTTTTAAAGAAGTTATTTTGGGAACTCTAAACTCATGTTCCTTTGTTGATTCGAAACTCAGTGAAATGTGGTATCCTCTTTTCTGATCATCCCATACATTTTGGTAGATTTCATGTGACAAAGAAAAGCCAGTTGAAACAAAAAATGTGGATTGGTTGTGGAATGCCGAATGTTAACAAAACATTGTCAAACAATTTTGTTGAATCTCATGGCTTTCTGTTGCTTGGTGGTGTGGGGGTGTGGAGAGGAGGGAAGAAAATCTTCGGAAATTATTAAACCCTGATATTGGTGAAAATCTAAAAATTACGAATTTCCCTAGAAGAATTCATCAAAAACAGATAGCCATTACAGGTTCTTGAAGGGCCAGCAGCAGTCATAGTTTCAAAATGAATTTAGATAAGTAATGCTAATTGCTATATAAATGGTTTAAAACTAAAAAATGACATTCATTCCATGTCAAGGGAAATCTCATCATTTCACTTCCTGTAGACATATTGTTATGTGCATTTTAAATTTAGAAATGATAATTTCTAACTTAAGTATGTTTAAAGGATTAATTTTTGTGCCTATTCAGTACATTTGTGTTAAAAGAGAAAACTGGATATGAATTTGAGATTTTTGTATGTGTGTTTCATGTGGAATGTGTTCATGTGTTTACCATATGGGATTATAGTGCATTGACTTAATTTTCAATGCAGCTGTAATAAAACAGTCCCAAAATGAGCCAGGATGATGATAATGGTGATAAGTTTACTGGATGCATGGCACCATGCCATCACATATGCATGTATTATCTCACATCACTTGCATTCAGTCCCATGAGGGGATACCAATGTTCTCTACTTGACAGATGAGCACTGAGTCTTCTTTGAGGTAAGTACTTGGATGTATCATGAAGCTGTGAAATGATGGAGTTGCGCTCAGACCCAGGACTTGATGGTTCATAAAGCTTTGCTACTCCACTTTCATTTGACTTACCTGCTTATATTTTATGGTGACCCAACACCGTTGACTAAAGCAAGTGATAATGAAGCCAGTCATTTCTCAAATCCATAACTAATTATTTTTGTTGTGTTGTTTCTTTCATGACTGCACTCATATCTATACCAGTTGACTGAAGGGAAAATATGGTGGAAAAGGTCTGCAATGTGCTAAAATTTGGTGTAACACATCTGGTTATTTGTGTGGTTTCTCCCTTTAGTTATTGTTTTTCTAAAAAAGAGATAACATAATGAAAAATTTTAGGTTTTCCTACAATGCTGGAAACACAAGTGGGAACCCTAAAAGGCAGATCCAGACCTCTGAGATAAGTAGTAAACTTGTCCCTCCACTGCTCAGTGAAGCAGGCATTCCCAGGTGTTTTATTTGCACCCTGCAACCAGAAAAAAAAAACAGGAAACAAAAGATGATACACACCTGCAGATCCCCATCCTCCCATATATACCCATACCATGTGCTCAGAGCCAACTTGCCAGGTTTCAAGTACAGGCTGCACCTAGGTCTTTGACTCTGATATTTTAAGGCAGAAAGGAAATGAAAAAAAAAAAAAAAACTTAGATCATTCCCTTTGCCTCACTTATTTTCCATTAATATAAAACTAGGTAACATAAATTTGGCAGTAAAGTTATTTTCCTCTATTAAATTTAAGATGTTATTCAATAAAAAAGATTTACTTGAAAACTAAGGCTAAAATAAATTTCTTAATTAATGAAGACATTATCATCATTGAAAATAGTGTATACTGAATTTTGTTATTATTTCAATGTTCATCCAATTTTCTTACAATAGAAAAAGTGGAAAAAAAGAAATAATGTTTTCATTGCCTTAGGGACAACTAGGTTTTTCTATTCAAAACAAAATGCACAGAAAGCAAATAATAAAGTACATACATTCTGAGCTATTTTCTCTCAGGTATAAGACAATCAAGTTTATGGAATTAAAACTATTTAGATCTATATAATCAACAGATATTTGAATAAAGCTAATACAGTTAAGGGAATTATCTGTAGTTTTAATTAACAGCAAACTTGGGGCCAGTCCTATGGCATAGTGGGCTAAGCCTCTGCCTGTGGTGCCAGCATCCCATACAGGTGCCAGTTCCAGTCCTGGCTGCTCCACTTCCCATCCAGCTCTCTGGTATGGCCTGGGAAAGCAGAAGATGCTCCAAGTGCTTGGGCCCCTGCATCCCCATGGGAGACCCTGAAGAAGCTCCTGGCTTCTGGCTTCAGATCAACCCAGCTCCAGCAGTTACAGCCATGTGGGGAGTGAACTCTGTCTCTCCCTCTCTCCATCCCTAACTCTACCACTAAAATAAATAAATAAAATCTTTAAAAAAAAAAAAGGAAAACTTTTAATTACTAGGGTTTTGGAAAAAAGAAAATATTAATCTTCATTAGAAGCTTTCATACATATTAAAATTCCTTTAGGGTTTAATTTTAATTATATTTTTAAGACATTAAGTAGAAGACTTAATCTTACAGGTGACGTTATCAACAATGACCATACTCCTTGTATTTCTTCAGGTAGTGATAATAGTTACTTAAACCATATAGACTTTGGGCCGGTGCCGTGGCTCACTAGGCTAATCCTCCACCTGTGGTGCCTGCACCCTGGGTTCTAGTCCTGGTTGGGGCGCCGGATTCCGTTCCGGTTGCTCCTCTTCCAGTCCAGCTCTCTGCTGTGGCCCGGGAAGGCAGTGGAGGATGGCCCAAGTGCTTGGGCCCTGCACCCACATGGGAGACCAGGAGGAAGCACCTGGCTCCTGGTTTCGGATGGGTACAGTGCGCTGGCTGTAGTGGCCATTTGGGGGGTGAACCAATGGAAAAGGAAGACCTTTCTCTCTGTCTCTCTCTCTCTCTCACTAACTCTGCCTGGCCAAAAATAAATAAATAAATAAATTAATTAATTAAATAAAATATAGACTTTGGGCATTTTAATTTATTACAGTTCATGTTAACATGACCTTCTTTGCAGGTCTTCAAAGAGGGAGGTGCCTTTCTCTGAAGGGAGGAGAGAACCTCCACTTTGACTATGACCGTGTCTAAACAAGATAAGAGTCGGAGAACTCAAGGGGCTTCCATAGCCTTGGAAACTCATGACTGGTGCATAGGGAGATTACTGATGCCATATACAGGAGTGTCAATTTGTAAAGTCAACAACAGGAGTCACTGTGCACTTACTCCTCATGTAGGATCTCTGTCCTTAATGTGCTGTACATTGAGGCTTAATGCTATAACGAGTACTCAAACAGTATATTTCACTTTGTGTTTCTATGGGGGTGCAAACGATTGAAATCTTTACTTAATGTACACTAAACTGATCTTCTGTAAAAAAAAAAAAAAAGAAATTATCAATTCCCAACTTGACTCTCACTGGGATTAAACATGACAATAGGTCTGATCTGATTTCATCATCATTTAAAAAAAATCATCTATTATATTTCACTTTATGTTTCTGTCTGGGAGCAAACTGTTGAAATACTTACTTAAGGTATACTAAGCTGATCTCCTGTATATTAAGATAATCGAAAATGAATCTTGATGTGAATGGAAGGGGAGAGGGAGTGGGAAAGGGGAGGGTTGTGGGTGGGAGGGACGGTATGGGGGGGGGAAGCCATTGTAACCCATGAGTCGTACTTTGGAAATTTATATTCATTAAATAAAAGAAAAAAAAAACATGACCTTCTTTGGAACAAGGTTTAGGATTGGCTTATAATCTAAAATTCCACTTTTTTATTGAATAACATCTTAAATTTAATAGAGGAAAATAACTTTACTGCCAAATTTATGTTACCTAGTTTTATATTAATGGAAAATAAGTGAGGCAAAGGGAATGATTTGAATACCTATTAATTGCCAGGCCTTTCCCAGATATTATCCCAGTTAATCTTCAGAAGAATTCTCTTCAGGAGGTATTGCAATTCCTATTTTTTTTCTAAAAGACTTATTTTTTTAATTGAGAATTCCATCTACTAGTTCACCCTCTAAATGGATGCAATAACCAGGGCTAGGTTAGGCTGAAGTCAAAAGCCAGGAACTCCATTCTGATCTCACAGATGGCTGACAGGGGTACAAGTTCTTGGTCCACTTTGTGCTGCTTACATCAACAGATTAACAGGAAGTGGAATGCAAAGTAGAGCAACCAGGGCTCAAGCCAGCACTATGCTGTAGGATGCAGGAGTCCAGGAAGTAGCTTAGTCTACCATATCGCAAAGCTTGTTCCTGCCATCCCTATTTTTTGAGGAGGATAAAACATGAAAACTGGCTCTCCCTGAGGCAGGATTGGGTTTCAGGTTGGCCTGACTCCAAAGACTGAAAGCTTCCTGTTTCACCATTCTGCATACAAGAAATGTATTTTCATGCAAATATTTTTTTCTAGCTGATTGTCATATAAACTGTATATGGACTATAAACTCCATGAAAGCAGAGATGGAATTGCCGTTGTTTATTTCTGTGTTCTTTGAGTACATTTCTCCAATCCTAAGTAAGTGCTCAAAAAAAAAAAAAATTCATTGAATGAATAATCAGTGAAACAAAGAACTAGAAACATAAATTATCCTTCTAACTTTTTGCCCTATCTACATTTTCAAACTTATTTTTAGGCTACTACAGAGGATGACAATAGAAGTTGAGTGTAAAGTTTAGTGAATACCCTGACAAGAATATGTGGCTTTATGATCCATTATTCTAAAAGCTGAAAAAAATGAAGTATGTTATATCTCCTATTAAATTGAGTTATAAATAAGATGTTTTGAGCCATATTCTGTTCCAATTGAATTTCATCAGTGGAACTCCTAGTAATTTACAATAGAATGTCTTCCCAAAATAGAGCATTAACTACCAGTGACAATTTTATTTACACTACTCTAAGAACCAAGTATCTAATTTAGTTTTAGTGGACAAAATCAGCAAGCACAGGAAGTTATTCCCTGTCCTAAATATATTTGTTTTAAAATCATTGCACATATGTCAATGCCTGGGAGTCAGAAACTGTTTCTTATACAAAGGTTCTTGAACTCTCTTTGGATAAAACACTTTCACATCTTCTATCATATATTCCAGGATCATTCATCATATGGTGATTAGCTTGGGGATTTAGTCTCTCAGTTAAAATATGTCTGTTTTGCACTTGGTTACTGCTAAAAAGAGAAGTCTTAAAATGAACTGATTAAATATATGATTAAAATGACCCTCCTGGACCCTGATTAATTAAGTGTAAAATAACTTTACAAATGATTACTTCAAAGTTCTTTAATAAACAGATCTAGTTTTGAACAGATTTCTTTTTTTCTGATGACTAGACCAATAAACTTCTGAAATTGATAACTGCCTTTTCTGAGAATTTTTGTCTTCTACTTCATGCTTAGTGTAATATATATAATAGTGCCAAGAGTACTGAATTTTGAGTATTACATCCTTGTAATAGTTACCATTGTAGTGTCTTAATTTGTCATTAATAAATTAGCCTTTCAGTGCCATAGTATTTCATACACATGTTCACAGAGTGAACTGACGATTTTTGTTAAAGCCGTGACTCAGGGTGGGCATTTGATCATCAGTTAGAATGCTGTTTGGGACAGACTGGAGTGCCTGGGTTAAAGTCCCAACTCCACTCCCACTTCCACCTTCCTGCTAATGTGCACTCTCGGAGACAGCAGATGGTGCTTCAAATGTTTGGGTCCCTGACATGTGGTGCATGGCAGGTCTTTGCTGAGCTCCTGGCTCCCAGTTTCAGTCTGACTCAACCACTGCTGTTGTAGACATTTGGGAAATAAACCAGCAGTTGGGAGCTATCTCTATGTATCTCTTTTTCTGTCCCTGTCTCTGCCTCTCAAATAAAAATTAATTAAATTTTTAAAACTGTGGCTCATGTTCTGCTGAAGAGAGTAATTAGATTTTATCTTATGTTTCATGAGATCCTACTCAGACACTTCATTTTTCTAATACACAGCTGCTAAAACGCTTCATTTCATTTTCCTTTTAAATTCTAGATTAGAACACTGAAAAACATTTTTAATTTTTAATTATAATTTTAATTGGTTGTTAATAGATTCAGTGTGATTTGTCATACATTTCTAAGAACATGATATTCCCTTCCTTCTTCCTTCTCTTCCTCCTTCCCCCTCTCCTTCCCACCCTCTTTCCTTCTCCCCTTCTTTTTTTTTAAGTTTTTGAGAAAATAAATTTTAAAATTATAATAAAAAGGCTTAATTCTTCACCACTAAGAAGTTTAACAAGTAAAAAGCAAAAAGACGCTAGTTTAGTGGGAATATAGACAACTGCTATAAATGATAATTGAATGGAAAAATGACTTTCATCCATATACGGTAAATTTTAAAGTAATCACATATCATTAAAACTATAGTAGTATGACATTTTTAGGTATTGATTTTGCGAAGTTATAAAAGTTCAATAAAGCTGTATTTGCAGCAATACTGATAGGCACATTTTTATTTTTTTCTCTTTTTTCTTTAAATTTTAGCTTAATGCTAAAATTATTAATTTTATTAATTTTTATTAATTTTAGTATTAATTATTTAATTAATAAATAATTTCTATATCCCACATATAAGTGAGTACACATGGTATTTGTCTTTCTGAGTCCAGC